TATTCTCATTACAAACTAAAGAAAACATAGCAATACTCAATTTTCTAAACATGTAAACTGTCCATCTCAAAGTCTACACTTCTATTATCATGAAGGAATTCCAAGTTTCTGTGAACAAAAACAGTGCGACAGTAATGGAGCCTTATCCAGAGAAATGCTAAAACATCTTTGCTACTATTCTCTCCTTTGTCAGAGCTCAGCACCTGACAGACTGTCTCTGACAGAAGATGAGACTGGTGTTCCTAATTGTTATTATAACTACCGCAAAATAAAATCTGGCTATTTAAAACATTCCAAAGCCAAGCATTTCGACAGCTCCTATCACTAAATGAATCATAAGAACTCCCTGAGATCAACAACCAAGAATGCAACAACACAGCTTAAATACTACGCTACCAATGTTAGTTCAAAGACATTTGCATTTTCTTATACAAACACTGGATATCTATGCTTATAAACTTTCTCAGACCCCACAAACATAGTCCACAACCACTCTCCAATGAATGGGGATTCTTTGTCATACCTTACGAACAAGCAGTAACAAACCAACTTAAATCCATCAATTTGAAAAAGCTTGTTTCTTTATAAAATGCATTACATAACTAAGAAGTGACCAATTAAAAAACAAGTAGTCCAGAAAAGGATTTAACTAATATTTCTGCTGATCTGCCTTTGCATTTTCTTCTACCTCCCAGAAGAAGCAGCACTACCCAGTTAATTTAGAGAATTGGGTTTCTGAGCTTTCCCTTGATCAACTACAATCCTCAAAAAGAAATTACAACCTCATTTTGTCTTAAAGTAACTCTTGCCCTTTTGCCAGGACTTTGTAAATATATAAGCTAGTATTAACATTGCAAAAACAATAAGTTGAGGAAATCTCATTGTTGCTAAGTACATGTAAGATCACTCAAAACCTAAAATTTACATCTCAAAAATGTTAAAGCAATCCTAAAACTGAAGAAAACAAATAGAATCTCACAAATAAAAGAGCAATCATATTATTAAAAAAAAAAAAAAAAAATCAGTATTGCAGTAATATTTCCTAGGTCGATCCGACTAACCATCTCCATGTATATCCCAGTCATCTTGTAAACGAAACCAAACTGAGAAGATAACAAATGCATCAGAGTGGATAAAAATATATTAAACACCATAACAGATACAGGTGGGAGAACATATGTTGTCTTTGGAAGCAATACACAGGCTGGTTGCCTCACCCTCTCCAAGGGGTGAACAACCCACTCTTTTCTGTTAGTCATCCTTCAAAGGTCTACAACAATCATCTTTCTAAAGCAAGAAAATCACCTTGAGCATTCCTTCACAAAAACATGCATGCTGAATAGCTAAATCTCTAAATATCGGGTATAATTGACATTCTAAGATGGCTGAATGTGCTCCCTTGGTATTTGGCTGCTGAAAACATGGGCCACCTTACCACCTTTCTACAGCCTTCAGAGCAGGCAAGAGATAGGAGGGGTAACTAGCACAGACAATTATGTTTTATATCACCATTCATCAGAATTTGACCACCAGTAGGTTAAGGGAGTTGAAGAACCACACATAGAATAAAAAAGATGAGATGGGTCTCGTCCAAATGCAGCTTAGAGAGAGTATCATAAGTATAACGAGTATAATAAGGCGTTTAAACACTAATAGAAGGTAAAAGGAGGTCAATGCTCAGGAAGACCAGAGACACAATTTCTAAGGCTAAAAACTCCATTTTGCACAGTAGGATGGGAAAGAACAAAAGACGCCTTTGCATGCCAACTTTCTCCTTCATGTTTGGGAAGGAGGGAAACCATTTCAGTAACTGAATACCTACTGGAAAAAGAGATGCATCTTAGTTCAAGACAAAAGACACTTTCTATTCACAAGTCTATCTTCATGGTACAGGAAGAAGAAATCCCACACAATTAGAGAGTCAAAGCATGTGATCTCATTGCAAGAGTGAGGAAGGAAAAGAAGACGGTATCATCTTCCACATTCAGAAAGACACAGCCTAGGTACCCCACCAACTGAGCAGGATTAAAACAGGAGTTATTTAAAGGTAATGGCAGCCAAGTCTCCCCCAAACCTGCCTAAATAGACTTTTTCCAACACAGAAACAACCTTTCAATCCTCAACACTACTCTTCAAAATTATTTTCTTCCAACCATTTTCTGGACTCGTATTTTTACGATCTACTCTCTCAAGCAAACAGCATTTCTGAGAGAATAACAAATCGGACTGTACGCATATTTGCTTTCTTTTCACTAGCAAAGCATCTCCTTCGCCTTGCATTTGAAATTTTAGTGATAATAAAAGAAAATGTCTACTTGAAGACATACTACAAATGAACTAGCACTACAAGACAAAAAGAACCAAAACTCAACAACCTCAACCAAAACCAAATACAAACAAAACCACACAAATAGAAGAGATCTCTCAATTCTTAACTGGATGATCTACTGAGTGCACTTGAGAGTGATAAAGCACGCACAGTTTCTCCATAGTTTAAACATCTAGTTTCAACCTGAACTGTGAAGCCATAAATCTCAGGGACTACCCTTATTTCGTTAATCCTTTGGAAGAAGAAACTATGTTCCTTTCACTATGAAGACAGAAAATCAGCATCCCCCCCACTCCAGTTTCCTCTAGGAAGAGTGAAATTGCTAACTCACCTTCATGCCTTTGAACACTATTTTACACAGAGCTTTCAAATAAAAATAATAGTAGCAGAAAGGTTTCTTCTAAAGCACTGAAGAGATGTGTAAATAATTATTTTCACACATACCCTGTAACCCAGTTGCCCATGAGGCCAAGATCTAGACTGCAAGTTTATTACATCAAGAAACTGACAATGTTTTTCCCACGTAAACATATTCCTTAACGGAACTGGAGAAACTTACCATTACACTCTCCCTGCGTGCAAAAATAGACCCTAGAAAGGGACATTCTCCTCTTCATATCCAGGGAAAGGAACAAATGGGGAAATGGACCACTCAAGCAGATGAGACTGTGAAGAGACAAGAACTGTAGCTCTTGTAAGAGCCTTTGCTCTTCCACAGAACAGGTAAAGAAAATACCAAGCCAGCACTAGCAGCAAAGCAAGGCGGTAAATCTCCCGACCCCATGAGGCAGCGGCGGGGCGCTGAGGAGAAGCGATTGGTGAAGGGACCTCATCCCTGGAACGCCCGCGCGCTCTCCTGTGAGGAGGAGGAGGAGGAGGAGAACAGCGACCATTGGGCTGCGCGAGCGGCAGCAGGCACGCGCCAGCCCTCGTCCTCGGGTAGCTGAGCGAGCTGGGGCGTGCCCGCCCGCGCGCCCGCCGAGGAGGGAGGGGCGGGGCGGGGCGAAGTGGGGCGGGGCCGCCCGCCCGCCGTTAGCGCCAGAGGAAAGCGAGCCCTGCCCGCCGGCCTGTGCTTCCCTGGCCACCGGTACGGCCGCCAAAGTCGGCCAGCAGCGAGGTAGAGAGAGGGTGCCGTTCGCCCGAGGGATTGCTTTAGGTGCCCCTGTAGAGATGCAGGTAGGGGGGTAGACGCACTACTCTAACACGGCCGTCTACGGGGGGAGCTGGGCCAGAAAGATGGTGGGGCTTCCTCAGTGGTCGCTGACAAGGAGCGAGGCTGGGAGGACAGTCCCAAGTCCCCCCCTGCCCCTAGGGCTGGAAAACGACCCACCTCAGGGCGGCGGGAGGCGTCTCCCCGCGCCCTGGAAAGAGCAGCTGAACCAACGCTTTGGAGTTTCACGGTTTCCTGAGGTGGGAGGAGGGCGGTAATGGCTCTCCACAGCATCTTCCCTCAGAGCAGGGAGGCCGGGAAGCCGGCGGGGGTGGGGGCAGGCATGAGACGGAGGATCTTTTCCGTCCTCGACTTCGCCACAGCGAAATGAATTGCCGGCGGAGAAGCGACTTGATGGAGGCGGGGGGGAACCTTCCCCCCTTCCCCGCCCTTCGGAAGGCGGGGGAGCCGGGGAAGGGCCTGCTCTCGGTGGAGCTGCCGGGAAGGGGCTGCGTACGAGGCGGCCGCCCTGGGCAGGCACATGGGGATTGGGGGTACGGGAATAGGAAATAAAAAACAAATCCCAAACAAACAAGCGGTCGAGGGAAGCCACTGATTTAAAGAGCGAACCAGAAAACTAACCCTGACAAGTGGGATTTGCCCTCCTCTTGACTGCACTTATTGGCCGTGCCTATTTGCAACGAGCTTGTATCTGCCATTGCAAGTGGTCGGTTGGTCTGTCCATCAAAAGGGAAATATCAATTCGCCGCTAAGGGAGTAGATTCCCATCCATCCATCACAAGGCTTAGCAGGTAGCCGCCTAGAAATCAATCACACACTAATAAAAATATATATATATTCCTTCCTCATCACATTATTGCTATAGTGCTCTCAGCAAAATATGTATGTATCCTTGATGAATACATGCATGGATTTAATCATATGCATCACTCTTGTCCAACCTAAAATGATCTTTAAAAAAAATTTAAAAATCACACAGCATCATGAGGAACCTCAGTAAGTATTCATTAATTATATAACTGCAAAATAATACCTTGTCAGTTTCTGCTTTCCATTCGCCAGCCACTAGAAGGGAACAGAAATCTCTCACCTTTTTCCTGACACAATTTTTAAAACACCAAACATTATCCAGTATTTAGGTATAAAGCCAGGAATTTCCAAAGCTTATCAATTCTATTCTAGAAAACTTTAACAATAACAATAATATTTTTAACACTTGGCACAAAAAAGGAGACTCCTATGGCTGCTTTTTGGAGAAACTGCAAGAGAGGTTTCTGGTTGACGATTCTGTAGGGAGAGGCACTCTGTTACCAGAATAAGATGTGCACTTGGTCCCATTTATTACAATGTATTTCTAAAGCAATATAAAAAGCCTTTTCTGCGAATTCATTTCCAGTTTCAGCTACCAGACAGTTGAAGAAAGCAATATATAGCAATTTCCTTAATCACAGCAAATTTACAGTAATGTATTACAGCCATATTCTTGTTTAAGCTTCTCACCTTTCAAATCATTGCATCTGCCTTTCGTCCTCACATGGATTTTACAACATCACGTTTAGCTGACATCTCGTTTGCGCGGAGGAAGGCGGCAGCAGGGAGAGCCGGAGCCACCGAATCCCTTACGGGGGGAGGAAGAGAGGAAACCTGCTGCAGTCGTGGGGGGAGGCTTGTGTGCTCCTGTCCCTCGTCTTTCTGTCCCTCTGCGAGTCTCCCTCAGTCAGCTGCGAGCCTGCCTGTCTGGGTTGCCAGTCCCTGACTCAACATTCCCAGCATTCCCGAGGAGCTGGGGCTTCATCAGCGGCGAGCGGCCTGCCGCCGGGGGCAGCAGCAGGCTCTGGCAGCAGCAGCAGCAGCAGCACACGTACTGCAAGCCCAGGGATCTCTCAGAGCGTTTGTCCCTGGCCATTCATTGCACACCCAAGGGTTCCAGTCCCTGCCCAGCAAACGTCTGAAAGTGTGTTACTCATTGTGAGATAGCCTAAAAATACACCGATATCTGCGTAAAACTGCAGAGGGAAAATTACTTCTCCTGTCCCTGTTCACTGAAGGCCAAAAACGTTCAAAGCCAGGTGCTTAAGAATATGGTATCTAAAATCCACTACTGTATGTGCATACATACACAGGAAAAAAAATAAAATTAAAATCTGTGCTTTAACTTAAGTGTATCTAAGATGACATCTATATTTGTCTGTGGTTTAAAAAAAAAGTAGTATGCAGGGATAAAAAGCAAGACATCAGCTGCTACGTGAAGCCTGAAAGCCTTTTTCATCAGAAAACTGTAAACTACATTAAAAATTACTTCTTAGATTTTATTTATTTACTTTTAAGGGGAGTGAGGTAAACTTCTATAAATATCACTGATTTCTCATTCTAAGAAATTAGGGGTTTGTATTTTTCCGTCTTCTCAAATTTTATTTTTTTTGGAGTTTAATTGCTCTTGATACAATTTTAACTGATCGCCCTCAATCTTTAGCTTCAATGCAATTTCATATCTTGCCCTAAATAGAATTTCACAAATGTATCTTATCTGCCTCTTCTTAACCTCATTGCCATAGCAATGTTTTGAATGTTTTGAAGAAGTACTTCAGATCTGGAGTTGTTTCACTGTAATCTGTATTTCCTTTCTCTCTTGCCCACATAAGCACCTATACATGCCACTAGTAAACGTTATCGATAAGAACAGCTTTCCCGGAATTTCTATTAAAAACAATGCCAAATGAAATTGACTTCAACCAATCATGTCTAAAACTAACATAATCCCTTTGTTGCTGTATTTGAACTATCCAAAGTCAGGTGAAGTAGTTTGCTGACATGAATATTTGTTCACAAATACAAATATTCAAAACAATGCTAGAGGGCAATTCACAGCAGAAGTATAGCAGTTTTTTATTTCCCCAAGAAAGGGGCATACTCTCCATATATTTATCTCAGCATTAATTAATATGGGCCAAATATTTTTTCCAATTTATGGGACAAACCATGACTAAAATCCAAACTTCAGTTGCTTTTCAAACCTGCATATTTACTTGAACACAATCCTGTTAAAGGAGTTACAAAACCGTGGAAATTATGGACAGAGAAAATCTGGTCCTGGAGAAATTGACAAGAAGGGACATGTTTTGTATACAAATAATTTCACTTGATCTAAAAAGCAAACAGAAAGTACTCTTGAAGAGTTAGCAAGTCTGCACCTGCAGGAAGATGCATGAACACTGTAAAATGTGGGTCACTACACTGAATGCTTCAAAGCACAAGAAGTGTCCATTTTCAAAAGTTTAGTGCTTAATTTGGATTCGGTGTGCAATAAGAATATCTTAAAGGCCTATCTCAGTATTGCAAATGCCAATTCTGCCTCAGTACTGTTAATGATGACAGAACTTTTGTTGTAAGTGTTGTCAGCTGCTGACAGTTTTAAAAAAAAAAACATATCACCCCACCCCTGTCTATATGAAAAGATGGGAACATCAGGTTCTGCTTTATCTTTTTGTGACTCATTCACTGGCAAAGGTTATGGGTGTTGTGATAGCCTCCAAAAGCCAGGATCATTCTGACAAAAGACAGTAACCTAAGAATTCTCTTTCCAAGGAATAAGCATTATGGGAAGACACCAAAGACTTACAATAAGGTTGCAACAATATTGCAATGAATTAAGCTTGGTATCATTCAATAAAGTTTGTAGCAGAATTAATCATAGACTGTCTTGGAGCAGTAGACCATCTGCAGGGGGACTGTTAGTATTACTAGTGCCAAAGAACAGAATATACCCACTATGGACAAGACCATTTGGTGTAGAGTTTTGTGGGGAAAAAAAAAATATTTTGCCAAATTGTGTTCAAAAAGAGTTGTTAGGAAAATGTGCACTTCAAATAAAAGGGAAAAAAATAATCAGAATTTTACAGCTTATCTACTTATTGTATTAGTAGAAACAATATCCATCCAAACAACCTCAGGGTCACATAATCCAAACCCTTCAATAATATTCATTCCCTACATTCAAGACAATACTGGAATAATAACAGTAGTATGTACTTCAGACTGACTTTTTTGCAGATGATGAAAGTTCTCATTTCTGTCTAATCATAGGAACATCTGTGTTGTCTTTGCTGTCGTGATGCAGGTGGGCACCATTAAGCATAAAAAGAAAAAAACCAGATCATGTGAGTAAACTAGCACTTTTTTCTTTCGTTTTAATTATAAGAGGTTCCAATGCATTACTAGACGTATCTTTCAGCCAACTGTTAGAAGGAAGCAGTCTATCATAAAACTTAGACCAGTATTTATAATATGTGATGCTACATCTAAGGTTTGCCCTTTTCAACAGTTTCTACCTTCAGCTATATATTTGGCTACCATACTTGTATTGGTTTGTTTTCTGAGAAGTTTTCTGCCTTAAAATGCAGCATATTCATATAAGTATATTCTGCTTATATCACACATCAGGAGCTGTGAAGACCCCACTAAAATTAATGACACAATATTTTTTAATTTACATTAGAGTAAGTTAGTCCTTAAACAATTAAAGTATATGTGAAATACAGATTTTAGAGTCTGCTGCTTTCCTCAGACTATGTTATATTGATTTTGGAAACACGAAAGTGTAAAACATACTCTTATTATAATTATTCTGTTTAGTTATTCTATGTGTAAATAATTCACAACAACATTAGAAAACATATAATGTTACTGATTGTCTTCTCTTCTCGTGCCTTCCTTTATACTTCCCAGCTCTCTTCTCTTCTTACCTGTGGTAATAACACTGCAGCAGCAGCTAGCTCCCTTTCATATTTTGGTGAAGATATATGCTGTTTAGTGCTTCATTTTTTTAAAAACAGAAATACAAATAGATATGGAGCTCAGTCGTGGCTGCTGCATAATTGAGAGCAAGCAACGGCAGGTGTGTGCTTTAAAAACTGAGGAAACTGCATTTTAGCTTTAATCCGTTGAACCTGGCCCTGATGTATTCGTCTGTGCTTCCTTAGTGGCAGAGTTGCTTCCAGCTTTCATTTTCTATTACAGAAGCCAAATCAAGAACATGATGTAACAGTCTACTTTTTAATTTAAAAAATAGAAGTTAGAAATTAATTGTAAAAAATAATTTTGGTATTATATTAATGTATGAAAACCTGAATTACTTTCTCACAAAAATGCAGCACAAATAGAAAAAACAGAAAGACATGAAAATTATTAGAACATTGGGAGCTCCTGGAGCAGAAATAAGAGATGATCACGCTGGTCAGCCCCGTGTTTTGATGGTAAAAAACAGAAATACATCAGATTATGCTAGATTACACTACTATCAAAAATGGAATCAGTAATTCTGTTTATCCTATGTGTCAGTATAAAGCAAATAAGTGTGACAGTAATCTCCTTGATAAAATTTAAGTGATTATTCCATTCACATGCACTTTTAAAGTTAGTTATAATTCTCTAGTAGAACTCACTACTACAAGATATTACCAAGATATATTGTTTAAATAACATTCAAATAAAGGGTTTAAGTGTATATTTATTTTGTTTGAAAAGAAAGTAAGTCATAATGGATAATGGGGCTCTTTATTGATAATAATACCCTATTCTCAGTAAAAAACAAATCAGAAAGTTACTTTCACACTGCAAGTTCTTTCCAACTGGTAAGGTCCAGAAAGAAAAAAATTAATGGAACTGTGCAGGAAAACTACTACTTTCATATGGAGTATGCTGATATCTCTGGAAGAAAAAAAAAAACAACAACAAAAACCAACCCTAAATTCTGCATGATTTACACTGAAGGTTCCAGAAAAAAAATGTTGCATTTAACATAATGTGGTGATTAGACTTGGGGTGAGCACTTGACCCAGAACAAGCAAACAAAAACCTCCAAACAAGCAAAATAATGGAAAAAAAAATATTTTTTCTGTTGATTTCAGAATGAGGTCCTATTAGTTCAGTCCATGGAGGTGTTGCACCTGTCAGTCAATATTTATAGGACTGCTCTGTTTCTGCTTTATAAATTCAGATATCTGCCTACAGATCTGTCAAAATGAATCATAAAATAGTTTCCACCAAATGTTAGTTTCCTCATGACAAATCACCAATCAAAGTCTGATGTCTTTGGTTTTTAAAATCATTAGTATAATTTATTTATTTTTAATCTAAGTGACACATGCTTTACAGAGGATGAAAAATGTTACTTGGATATACATGAACGCACAATATGCTATTGTGGAAATGCATAATTATACAAAACCAAACAAAGTATATTCTTTTTTAGAAATTTAGTAACTGCATAATTTAAGCAATTTATTATATACTACACTGCTAATCTATTCAGGGGACATGCAGTCAATTTTATTCCTGCACATAGAGCAAAAGTAGCAAAATTATTTAATAGTAAAAATACCTAGCTCAGAAGTTCTTCAGCTGCCCCATCTCAAAATAGGGCCATTAATAGGTTCTTAGATCAATGGTACAATATATTTCAGAGACTAGCTTAAAATGTCTTGAATTAGGTTTAATATTTGTAAGACCTAAAATTTTATCAGTGGTTCTTTATTTACCTGGTTGGATATGTTTTCTGGAAACATGGTATTACTGCTACTGCTATTGTAAATGTGACTATACCAGAGCCACTGCTAAACGAGCACTGACTAGTAACTCTTAGATGCTGGCTAATTTTTAAAAATAATTTTAGACAATTCAGAGCTAAAGTCCAACTGACTTTTCAGTAAGGCCTAAGTTTCACATACCAACCTGATTTTTGAGA